GGCGAAAAATGCCCGTTCTATTTCTTGGAAAAATCGTTCATACCGCAAGAAAACATTGCAAATTTTTAACAGTATTTGGAGTCAAAGTGTTCACTCTAGATCTTAGATTCAAAATCTCCGAGGAGACGGCCACACGGGAACTTTTTTTTTAAAGGAAAAAAAAAAAGCATTACCAAAGTATCACGAGTCCGTGGAAAAAATCTTCGAGAGTAAAGGCAGTCTTAGTGCAGTTCTTTCGACAACCAGGACAGAGGGGAATATTTTCCGAAGAGTACTCTCAACCTTCTTTTCGATATAATTAACGATAAAAGTCAAATTCTGACCGTATATTTATCTGTGTATGGTAATAAAGTTGAAGATCGGTAGAAAATCTAAACACCACAGGGTGGGCTAACAAAAGTGAACTCGATTAAATTATGGAGTGGGTTTTCAACTTGCATGAGGATTTATTCACAATTTTCATCGTCTCTGGCATACTTGTTTGTCTTCATTTATTCTTTGTAAAATCTCTTACAAGCAGTTTTTACAAACATTTTCTCTTAGAAATCATTTCTTTTACCTCTTATCAATTTGAATACTCTTCTTTCGGGCTTGGTTACTGATTAAGGGTTACTTAATTAAAAAGAGCAATGTCTACCATTTATAATTATTTTTTTCATATTTTCCTTTTTAGAAGCATTACAAAACATTTCATTGAAAGTTTCTCTTCAACATGATCAAAGGAGGTAGTTTCTCAGTTAATATTTATTCCGTCCGCGTTTTCAGGTTAATTAAAATTTGGACTACAGATCTATATTTATCATATTAAAAACGCGGAGCAGCTGCAACATGGAATCCTTTTCAGTCTATACAACATGGAAATACGGCAGTCACTCGCTTAAATATTTTACTTTTTAATTTTTGCCCTGAAAAGATTAGCCTCGAAAACTTTTTCCTGCGTTAACAAGACGGATTAATTTCTGGAGCTGTAATTTAAAGAATAAAAAAAAAGTGCAATATAAACTTCAAACTTCAACAAATCTCGACATCTTGAAAGTCCCAGTAGACAAGGCAAGTCCCTCAATGAGAACGGGATAAGTTACAAGTTGGATATTTATGCATTTCTTAACCTTCCACGAGTTCCTGATGGCAAAAAATTGTAGCTTGAAGAACTCAGATCACTGATCCGTTAGTAATTCCACATAAATATCTCGTATCGAAGAGTCTACGAGTTCTTGGGTCAGTGGTTTATCGCTTCCATGCAGTAATTCTGTTGGTGGACTCTTTATAGCCATGTATAGCTCTACGAAACAACACTTAGCCTCCCTCAGCTTCAAGAACATGGGTTGTTTGTGTTTTGTATAATTTACATATCTTCGTTTTGCCTGTATTTGGTCAAACATCAGTGTTTGTTTCAGCAGCTGATAAATTTGTCCCCATCAACAAACATTTTACATAAAATAAGTAACATATTTTATATGAAAAAGAAAAAAAAACAAAACAAAACAAAAAATACAAAACGATATTGACAGACAGACAGACAGACATGCGTAGGCGCTCTTGTTATTCTTATAATGTTTTGAAAGTGGAAGTCCACTAATTTTAGGATAAATGTCATCTAAATTCATTTAAATTCTATCCGTTCTTAGTTCTAAACTCGAACAGCCCAAAAACTTAGATTAAAACTAACACATCACTGCTTGGAACTTGTTCCCACGGTCGGTTGAGTGGTGGTCTCCGCAAGCTGCGTGTCCTGAAGATCGGGATGAACCCTGGCCGCTAAAGAACAACAAATCATTCTCTTGATCTTCTCCCTGAACTGGTGGTTCAACAGAGCGTACACAAACGGGTTGACAGCAGAATTGAACAGAATCATGACGTCAGAAATTGCGAGCAAGACGGCGCCAATGTCGTCGGATATAAAGTACAGTAGGACGTAAACAAGTTGGCCTGTGCCCCAACAGACTCCAAATATGGCAGTGACAGCTACGACCATCAAGGTGACGCGCTTCCGCACCTTCATGACGCCCTGCGGATGGAGAAATAAAATCTGATCAAGACGGCATATGATCAACACTGAGGCTAATTTAGAGGAACCAAATCCGATTGACTAGTAATATAAAATCTAATCAACAAAGCTACTTTAATTTGGATGGTCCGGTACCAGCTGCTACAAGCTATTACTTTTGTGTTTAGGTAAAAAAAAAAAACACACAAAAACACAATCGACTTAGCGAAAGTACTAGTTAATGTACTGCAATAGCTGCAGAAACCATCAACGGACTGCAAGAGGGAAAAAGAAATACAAACATCAGAAAATTCCATTATAATCCTTGAGCGGAAGGAATTTTGCGTCACAAAACTTGGCTTTAAATGGATTTTGCGCCAAAAAAAAAAGGTTTGAGGGTCCATGAGAAAAATTAAGGCATTTTAAAACGTTGAAATAGTTGCCAAATGAACATGAAAATTCTCAAGATGTAAAACTGACATACAGGAAGGCGAACAACGGGCAACCAACTCTAAGACAAACTAAATCTAAATCTAAGGCAATGGGGTTTTAGATGAAGTATCCCCGATCTTTTTATAAGGGAGTCCCCCCGGATCAGACTCACTTTCTGCTGTTGGGTGAGCTGACTTCCGTTACTTCCTTTGAACCACAAAGCGTACACGACTCTGGAATACAGCCCAATCATCACTATCAAGGGAATAAAAACTCCAACAAACCACGCTACACTGTACGCCTTGCCCATCCAGTCCTCTGGCCAGATGGACACGCAAGAGTTTCCGCTCTTTGTCTCTATCACGTCCTTCACAATCATCAGCGGAAGATTTAATATTATGGCGCAGATCCAAGTGACGGGAATGATCACCTGAAATTGTCAAGTATAAATCTCATATTTTACAACAACGTCAGAAATTATCGTGCACTCATTGGCTAATTTTCATTGCCAATAAGTCGAAAGACCTCCTGAATTTATCATTTATGCGATGTTGACGTAATGAGAGAAAGCGGGCAATTTGACAATTTGTTATTGTAACAAAGAAATTGACGTCAGTTATTAATGCGTCTGTCCTGTTATTGACAATGAATTTCGTCCAAATATTGTCAGAGCAGACTGCGGATCCAATCGGCTATCGCCTAATGGATCCACGGCTACTTTGACAATGTTTTGACGAAATTCATGATCAATAACGGGACAGACGCATTAAAAACTGACGTCAATTTATTAAATGGAACGGTGTTTTATTAAGTGTCCAATGTAACTCTTCCTATGGCTTTTCATTATTACGCTAAGCGATTAACTTAAAAACTCGCGCACTTTGTCTTCGTGTTTGCTTCAACTTTTGATTGTTCATTCATTTGGATTGTTTATGTCTGGATTTCCTAATGAACTATCGCCTGCAATTTTTTAAGCACGCCGGGAAAACGCACGAAAGGTAACAGTTGGACTTCTCTAATACGGACAGCAAATTAAAGGGCCGTAGCAGAATGTCCGCATTATAGAGGTAGAGATCAGGTGTTCGTAAGGAGAGGTTGGACAGCATGTAAATGATATCATCAACAAATTCCCAAAGCAGCAAGGATAAAAAAGTTAAAAAAAAGTATTGTAACAACGAAAAAAAGCAATCCCCGCGTAGAAACAACGTAAAGGTGCCAGAGGTTTGAGACATTTCCGCCAAACGAGGCTTGGGGGTGAAGTTCGAGCATGTGACGTAAGCTTTATTTTCTGTGTTGCCGTAAAACCAAATCCAAACCAATGAGTTAGCGACTAGACTACTCAGCCAATCTCAAACCGTAGTAGAAGCAAAATCAAAAACCAAATTGCCTGATTACCTTCCACACTCACATTACACCGCTCTGGTACATATTTTCATTGCTATTAAGATCCCCTTAGTAGAATCCTTTGTACGGAAAAAATTCCAGCAAGGGGTGTTCAACACTAGCCCCTGAACTTTGGAAGTGCGTGTAGGTAATTCACTATCGATGGTTTCATTGAAGTTCGTCATCTAAACTCACCTTCAGTTTACGCTTTGTAAGATTCCACTTGTTACCATGGGGATACATTACTGCATAATATCGTTCAATGGCGATTGCAATTAGCGTGACGATTGCAGAAGCTGACCCAGTCCACGCGAAGACTCCGCCTGTCACGGATTTGCATAACACTACACCAAACACCCCGTCAGGGTG